CGCCACTGCACCGAGACGTTCCGAACTACGGAACCGAAGGTCGGCGTCTTTCCACTTGGATTGATTTTTAATAGTGAACCCACGGACTTTGGCTTTTGTCGTGCAAATTAACTTACTGAGACGAGAAGTTTTCCTTTAGTGCGTTCAACCGGATAAACTTACATCTTTTTATTTGCATTTTAATCTATACGAAGTCCATAGACAACTTAAGACTAGATAATTTTAAAGGTTAGTTTTGTGTATACTTTAGACTTAAAAAAATGATTTTGCTTGAAAAGTGGTTCTTAGTTTTACAATTTTATCTGAACCAACAGCCAACTAAATATCGTCATTTCTGTTGTCATTTAATATCAGCAGCCCAGATAACTTTGTGTAACTATACAAAGGCAAACAATATTGTTATATTAATGACTACCTGTTTCCGTGCGGCTTCATCCGCATGAAATTGTAAAAACTATATTTTATTCTTTACATTTGTCACATTCTCAATTGCAAATGTCACAATTACCGTTACTATAATAACTTTGCTTCCTTAATGTTGGCAGTTTGTAATTTATGGTCCCTTTCCCACATGAAGGTTTTTTTCCAATTGATTTACCCCTTCGTTTAATAGCGTTAAAATACATGGCTTTAAGCATATCGTAAGTGTAGGGTTATTTTTATTAAAGAAAGAATTATTCAAAAATATGCTGTGGTTCCTACACCACGAAGTAGTATGTGTTTATGTTTTATTATATTAGTATAGATGATACATCCAGTGTGTTTGGTTCCTACAGTTCGATGTCGGGTGGCCTGTCATCGTCGTGTTTGCAGCAGCGTGATGGCGGCTACCCGTACATGTTCGGCGACGTGCTCGGCGGCGGCTACTCGCGCGCGCCCGCCGCGCACCAACAGCACGCCGGCTATTCGCAGCCGCAGCCCGCCGCTAGCACGGGTTAGTACACTATTTAGAAGCAACTGGTCACTTCGACTTTATGACAGCAAGGGGAACGTCAATGGCTTAAACGAAAAGTGCCTTGCTAATGTTATAGATTTTAAATGTTAAATATTTGCTAGACTTTAATTTATGTACTATATTTAAATATGTTTTATGTACGATCACATTTATTACATGTAAATACAAACCGTGCGCGAAACGTGTAAGTAAATACAATAAAAATTGAAGAAATCAGACTTCGGAAAATATTTACC